AAAAAAACACTACATATATAATGTTTAGAAGGTAAATAACATGTTAATTATTTTTGAAATTCTTTATACTTTAAAGGATCTTAAAAGGAAAGACATCTTTTAAATCAAATAATTTTAGTGATTGTTTTGAATTTTTGGATGTTCAAGAGGTTTTTATTTCTAAATAATTTTAAATTTATGGAAGTTGACAAATATGGCATAGAATTCTATATACCTTTTATTCTTCTTCCATTAATATCAACATATATATAACTAATGACACATCCATCAAAACTAAGAAATTTACACCATAACATAATCAACTAAACTTCAGACTTAACTCAGATTTCACCAGTGTTTCCACTAGGCTCTATTTCAGGATCCAATCTAAAATATCACAGTAAAACAGACTTTTTGTGACTTAGGACTTTTAGGGTTAAATTTCTCAAGGTAATTTACTCTTTTAAGCCTTGATGTGCCCACCAAGGTAAGGACTGGGCCTCAATGACAGAGAAGAAAACAAATTCCATGAGCTGAAGTCCAGATTTCTTTGATATTGAGAAATTCCTACTTAGGTTGGCTGTTCAAAACTTTCCCCTTATTTAAAGCAGAAGACAACTTGCACTAGTTGGTTCCACAGCCTAGTTCACAAAAGGATATTTAAATTAAAGTAAATTAAATAGAACATTACTAATCCTATGGCATCCAAAACAAAGTTCTCCTGGAACCCCTCTCTCTCACTATTGTAGAGTAGGGACTAGTCCTTCTACTTGTTGGCTGGTAAGCTAGGAATGGGTAGAAAGCAGAATGAAAGTCTAGTTTTCCTCCTTCCTCCTGTACCCTCAGCGTCTTCTGCCCTAGCTGAACTGGGATGAGGTGAGAAGGACGAGAAAGTTTCATTTAACTATTGTCCAAAGTAGAAGGGAAGAGAGAAGATAAGTCCATGTGGATGTCAGGTCAAAAGGGCAGCCTCTTCCGAGTGGTCACTGCACACACAATTTAGAAATGGCCAGGGCTTCAATACTCTACATTCTCTCTGTTCTTAAAACATCTTTATGAGATATAATTCACATGCCATAAAAGGCACTCATTCAAAGTGTACACTTGAAAAAAGCAAACATAAGACAAAGTATGCAGTTCAATGTTGACATTGTTGAACGCATATAAAATTAACTTTGGTTTAAAGGAGGTTTCACTTAGCTTAAATAGGGGTTTTAAATTATCCCAAGGCTACTGCAATCACTAAATGCTACAACTTTAGCTTCACAGGAAATATTTCCACCTCTCCCTTCAGCAACGTCACCAAACTCTGATGGAATCATGGTGAAAACATTATATTTTGCTTACAGTATTAAGCAAAGTATTGTGTTTTTCAGAGGAAAAGAAATTTTACTCCCCCCAAGCCCCACAAGTGAATCACTTACAACAGTCATGTAATGTAGCATTCGACCATCTACCCGTCCTTCATCAAACTGAGTCTTATACTGGGGGAGGCCAATATCATCCAACCATCCTAAAGAGAAA